CAGCATATAACAGCTTGTTTCTTATTATATTTACAAATTTACAAAAAGTATCTGCTGTTCACAAGGAAAATAAAATAAAAAAGAAAGAAATTACAATGCAAATGATCAAAATATCAGCGTAATTCTTTCAAATCAATGAAAAAATAAAATATTTTGGAAATTTTCATTCTAGGTGTTAATTTTACACAGGAGCCTAAGGCAATGCTTAGGTCCTATTATCTACATGTATTTTTTTCTGAACATGACTTTTTTACTTATCTTTCTCCAAAATTCTTCAAACCTGAACAGACCTATCTTAATCAATAGTGTAACCTAATAATGTTTAGTATAACTCAGAAAATCCTATTTCATGGTTCAGGCTTGAATTTTTTCAAACCACCCTAAACCCATAAATTTGATTTCATATGCTTTATTCAAGAAACCAAAGCAGCTTCATTTGAAAAGAATATTTTCTTTCTTATGGTTTCAAAGGTGAAAGTTCAATACAAGATTTTCTGGTTTCATAAAATATTTTCCACTGACTAATATAAGTTTCTTGAACGCAAGCCAACAGTAAAGAATACAAATGAGAGAGATCCTGTCCCCAAATATCTATGAAAATCAATATTCTCAAGCTATGCATACTATAAGGTTCCAATAATGTGTTTGCACATATATTTTGAGGTTGAAACTGAAAGTGTAATTCTACATCACCTACAAATTCTCCTTGCTACAACTGACAGTTATCAAAACAAGTATTCCTGGCCCTCCCTACCAGATGTAATCATATATCAACAATTGCACATAGGTAAAACCAAATAATGACAACAACAACAAGTCTTATCTTGCTAGGTGAGGTCAACTACATGAATTACACAACGGCAATGGAATAAATTTCACCCATCAAAGACTAATTTTTCTTGATTACCCTGGAAAGAGACCCCACCAAGGTGGATTGCTAAACATTTGTTAGTTTCAATACAGTTTCACTCCTAAAAATCACATTCAAAGGCACCAAGTCTTTATTCATCTCCAAAATAAAGAAATATCAGTAAAAATGTAACTGAAGCCATTGTGATTGACGTCTTGTTAGCACACAAATCAACAACGAGAGCCATGCTTTCAACAAACAAACGTCCAACACAATTGACTTCCAAGTAATTGCAAGCGTCAAGGTAACCTCAATAACCCCTCAAGTAATAATAATAATAATAACCCCAAACTTGAACCTTGGAAATCTCTCTCTCGCTGGCTAAAACAAACTAATACAACGAATCATGATAACAGGTTTAAAACAGCTACAACAATAATAATACACAAAAGTTGTTTGAAAGAAGTTATACACAGCTTATGAACACAGCTTATGACTTTCATGAGCTCTTTTCAGCTTATTTCAATAAGATTATTGATTAATGAAGTTAATAACTCAATGTAATGTATGGTATGATTCCCAATGCTCCCTAAAGACATTTACCTATTTCTGTCTACTCAACAGCTTCCTCAGCTTCTTGCACTTATGCTTGTTCAGCTTCCTCTTCCGCTTCTTTTTCGCACTGTCAACGCACGACGCCCCCGACTCATCTTCACCATCATGACCTTCCGAATCTGCGTTCCCTGCCTCAAGCGAGGAAAACCCTCTTACCGAAACAGGGTTTGAAAAAAGCCCAAATGGGAAGGTGGAGAAAATGACGCTGCAATGGGCCAAGCCTAAATTCTCTGTTACTGGACTTGAATTAATGGGTCTACGAAAAGGAAAATATGCGAAAAACAAAATTAGATGCCCCCATGCAGGATCGAACTACAGACCTTCAGTTTACATGACTGACGCTCTACCACTGAGCTATAGGGGCTGTTGGTGACATTGTTCAGACAGTAAAATATTATTGATTAACATAACTTGAAGGTTCTTATTAGAAATATCTTATGTTTAGTATTGTTTGTAATATTATTTATTATTTCTTTTAAAGTTAAAAGGTATATAAAATGATAAAGGAAAAATATATGTACGTTTGGTTTGATTATAATTTTAATTTTCAAATATTTTTAGCTAATTAAGCCTTCTAATTTTTAAAATTTTAAATTCATTAATTTTTTTCTACTTAAAATTCTCAATTATGATTTTTATCCAATATTTTTAGGTTTCTTGATGGATTTATGATATAAATAATTTTAAATATTTAAAAGTAAACTATTTATTAAAATTTGATTTCAAAATTGAAATTTGTTACGAAATAATACTTTATCATTAAAAAAATAATGTTTTAATTCAGGAGCTTTGAGCAAAATAAAGTCTTAAAAGGATTAAATAAATTCAATTTCTGAAAATATTTAAGTAGAAAACAAAAAGCTAAGTAAGTCTTGCTTTGTATATTTTCTATTTTTATTTTTAATAAAAAATAGTGTTAAATACAAAGTTTGGTTAAGATTGAAGAAATTATTTCTATAAAAACAAAATAAAAGAATGTTTTGTTTTATAAATTTTTCTTTTTTTAATTATAAATTCACTATCTTATTTTCATTATATTTTTAAAGTTTTGTACAGAAAATTGGAAAAAGCCTTTTACGAGATTATAATATTATTTTTAATTATATAAGTACCTATTAGGTGAGATATAAATTTACTAAGTATTCTTATCCGTAATTATTTATATAACTAATTTCTAACGTATGTTATTTTGGGAGATTCACAGAGAAATAATAAAGAAAAGGAAAAAAAAGAAAAACATATATAAAATTTGGACTAAGGAGGATTCTGATGAACTGTTACAACTGATAGTGAATGCTATAAAAAGTAGACTGTGATTATAATGGGTCAATTAGCAAATTAAATGTAGAAAAATTTATCCTTACTCGTCTCAATGCTAAAATTAAGTGATTTAAGAAATGTGGAAAGAATCATACTTAATAATTTTTTATGTAAGATTAACTAATATAACCATTAATTTGAAGATTCTTATAAATATATTAATATTATAAAATTTTATATAAAAACAAAATAAAAAAGTACTTTATTGCATTACTTTATTTTAATATGTATTATATTTTTTTAAAATATAAATAAATATTAAATTTTAAATAATATACTTATAAATGTCCAAAATATGTAAAATTAGATATATTTAATCATAAAAATAATATAAGATAATTTAACAATTGAATTGGTCAATCTTAGTTAAAAATATGTATGTGTGAACTTTTCAAGTAAAAAAATAATTTCCCTAAAATGAGTTAAAGTGAGTAAAATTTTTCTTTAGCAATTTTAAGAAAATAATTGATTTCCTTTTATAATAAATTAAAAAATTATATTTTTATTTTATAAATTAAATAAGTGTAAAAGCTTACATTTTACCATATTTGAAAGGGTAAGATATCATTTGCATTGTATGGGAAAGGAATACTTCAGGTTGGTTTCGTGATTCTTATGAAAAAAGCGAAGTTGTGGCTAAGGTTGGTGATAATAGAGTATAAGAGGAACAATAGTGATTAAGAATCAAATTTACAAGCATGATCGAAATGTGGAATTTGTTTGTTTCTTCTTGCATTCGTGGACAAAAGACGACATACATTGACACCATGATAAAGAAGATTAAAAATTTAGGAAAATTTTAAAAAATTTAAATAACAATTGTGACAACGAGTACTATGAAATTTACGGAGTATATCAAATTTAAGACTTTGTAATGGTTGGGCTCAAAATGATAGAAATAGCAATGATAATGGTGATAGATGGTAAAAAAAACTAAGGGAATAATAATGAAAGTAGTAACTGATAACGATGGTTTAATGATAGAAATATTGATGATAATGATAATCAATAATAATAGTTAAGACAAAAATAATGATAAGAGTGATAATGGAGGTATCAACAATAAAGATAGTAGTTTGTAGTGATGACAATGATAATAATAAAGTGATAACAATGGTGACAGTTGATTAGTAGTAATAATAATAATAGTGATAATTTATATAATCTATGGTAAGAGTGCTTGTGACAATAATAATAGTAAGAGTGGTAACGATTATGATATTAGTGTAATGATGATAATGATGTAATTATAACAATAACGATAATAGTAGGTGTGATATTTCGAGCATTGACAAGGTGAAGAGTGATGCAATGAGATACAAATAAGGAGCAACTCTTAATATTTTTTCAATAGAAGAACACATAAATGAAGTGAATATACACTAAAAGAATAATGATAGTAAGACACTCTTTGTAATACACCTTTTAGTTGATTCAAATTTATTGAAAAATATAAAAATTATGAAAGTTTCGTTCCTAAATTAATGTTTCTATTTCATACTTTTTTAAGTTTTTAATAAATTTTAGTCAATAATAAAAAATATGTTAAAAAGATAGTATTGATAGCATTCTTATACATTGGAATGAGAAAAATTCAAAAACTGTACATACAGAAATACAATCAAAATGGTAGCATTCATTTTTTTGATAACTTATTTAAGAAATTTAAAGTTAAACGTGAATAACTTTAAGGAGGTATGAGTGACCTAGGTAATGATAAAGATAACAATGCAAGTGCTATTAAAGTTATAAAAAAGATAAGAAAAATTAAATGATTTATTTTTATTATTAAAATTTAAACTAACGTTAAATTTATTTAAAAATTATTTAACTCTGAATTAATTAAGCTTATTTTATTTGAAATTTGCGTTTAAAAATAAAAGATTGAAAACTTACCATGACCCTAAATGGGTCCTAAACTAAATCACAACTCTTTAAAGAATACAGATTAGTGATTTACAATAAAGCGAAATAGCATTTGAAGGAAGAGGCATTAACGATTTGGAGAGACAGGAATATAAAGAGAGAGCTTTGATATTTAAAAACAAAATAAGGGGTATAGATAATGGAAGGTGAGTAGATTTTTCTTTTGACAGAACTGCAACTTTATTAATAATTCAAAAGGACTCAATTTATACCGTGTCTCCTCTGACTGTCAATATTCACAATAAGAGCCAAATCCCGACACCAAATATCATTTTATTACATCGACCTGGGATAGAAAAAGAAAAAAGAAAAAAGCAGATGTAAGCCTGTAGAACACTGCAATAAATTGCAGGCAAACACATAGGAAATGATCACATGGCATGAGGAACAACGGAGCTGACAAAAAAGTCCTCATCGATTTTCTCATCGTGGCAACACTGGAACGTGGTGAGGACGTGCATGTGTCGGCGACACTCGGGGCACGTGAGCTTCTCGGGGATTCTCCCCATGGAATGAGAGAATTCGAACCTGCAGCAAGGGCTAACAACAGAATGCACCTGGTCGTAGTGTTTCTTAAAAGCAGGTTCAAACCCATCTCTATCAGCATCTTTCTGCCATATGGCGTCGTACTCAACCAACGTTCGCAACCCCGTTGTGGCGTGCCCGTTGACCACAATGTTTGACCCTCTGGCGAGAACAATCCACCCCCCCTCTTTGTCATAGCTTAGAAGCTTCTTGATTTCCTGCATCACGTGGTCGCTTTCATCGGTTTGCTTGAGTTGCAGCTTGGAGAAGAGCATGCTCTGAAGACGGGTCCAGAAGAACCATATCATACTCTGCTCTGACCAGAACTGTGTGTTGAGCTTCTCACGAGTTATGATGTCCATGATTCTCTGCACTTGCTCCTTCTTGTTGCTTTTTCCCACGTACACCATTTCTAATGGTATTTGTGTTGCCGTTGCGATCCTGCGCGCTTCCTTCACGAATCTTCTTACCCAGTCAGGGTCGTCTCCTCCGTACAAAAATATGTATTTTCCATCCTTAATCTGTTCAATTAAAAAATTGAATTTGATTAATTTCCAAGACTGGAGAGGCTGCTAACGCCTTCTTTTCCACACATTCTTTTCAAAAATGGATCCATGGCCGAGTGTGTTACTGGTAATTTTCTTCTAATATTAGTCGTTGGAAGATAGCATCTGAAATAGCCCCCTAGTTTTGAACCTCGTTAATGGACGAAAACATGTAGCAACCCATCTTGGGTCAGTAAATGTAGCTACCTACAAAGCCTGCACTGTGCAGTCAAAATACATATACTTGACCCTTTCCTGTTAAAACTCATGGCTCATGTATGACGGTTCTGTACAATTTAAGTAGTATTGTTTTTTAAGTAGCAGCATCTTTTGGGTTAGGGTGTGCTATGTTGTTAAACTTTTCATGAGATTCCTATGGAATTAACTGATTTCTATTTATGGTAAAAAAAAAAAATAGTAGTGTGATCATACAGAAGAAAAAGAAAACTATTTGATTGATAGAATGTATGCTTACCCAGTTCAATATTTCAGTGTCAATGCCATCTACTAGCAATTCAAGTCTCCAGGTCTCTTCATTCCATAGAGCTTCTTCTCTAGCGCTTGTGAAAGGAAAGGCAGCACTTCCCCAAATCCACATCATGTGAATAGCATTAGGGCAAGAAACCCTCCCTTGAGGATCCAAAACCACAAGAATTGGCTTATTCTTATATTTCCATTCGCTCTGTATGAACCAGATGACTGGCTTGCCTATCATTGAAGGATGACACACTGCGTACCATGCCATGGTTTCTAGAAGGGTCTCAAACTGCTTTTGCTTTTGTTCTGTCCATTCAGTGTTTGGGTCCACAATTGGGATCCAAACCAACTCATACCTACTCTCCATTCTTGGTGCTTGTGCCTTGGATTCGTTATAGATTTGTTCAAGAATCATAAGCTCATCGCTGGAGATATCCAGGCCTGAAAATAGAAGTAACACATTCTTCCTTCTCAGTGGCTCAAGGCTAACCTGTTTGTTTGCATTGATTATACCAGCATTAGCATCATCCACTTAACTATTCATAATATTAATGCATCATGTAGGTAGTTAATGTGTTAGAAAATCAAACCCTTTTCTTTGAAACACCATCATATAGAGGTAGAATATCATCCTGTGCGTAAATCAAAGCCCTGAGAACCTTCATGTTGTCAGCGTGGGGTCTCGAAAACAAATCACATAATATTTGGTAAGCTTCAGAATCCATCTTTTTCCCTGCATTCAATGGTGATCTTAAATTAGCCGGCTAGCTTAGATACACTCCCTATTCATATTACTTCACTTTGTAAGACTTGTTTGTTTTACAGTTGGAAAATCAATTCTTGCATTTTCTAACGAAAAACACACAATTCAATAAAAATATGTGGTACAAACATCCCAATCACACTCAACGTTACAAAATTTTTTTCATCAAAATTAATTCTAGTTAACATCAAACCAAATAGGCACAAAGGTAGATAGATATATAAGTGGCATACCAATGTGTTGGTGGCAGGTATGCAGTAGCTGCCTGAGATGTTCGAATATGTTTTTGAGTTTGAAATTCAATGTGGATATCTCCCAAGCATCAGTGGATGTGAATATCCTGAAATAGTTATTTGATATATTATTTATGCTTGTGTCATATTAAACCCTGCCATTTAGCAGTTAGGTACAATGATACATTGTAAATTGTTCATATGACCATCTGTCATGTGCTTTTGTAGTTTCATGCATAAAAAGAATTTAAAATCCTGTCTTCTATTCCGCGGGAATTTGGCTTCTCTAAAGCTACTGATTCACTAGTGAGAGAAGAGTAAGGAATATCAACCTTTGATCTATATGCACATATATAATAAATCATCGATTAACTAAAATCCATTCTCTTAAATTTTCTCATCAATGGATAAAATTCCCTACATTTCCCTCTGAACTGAATCATTCACTTTAGAGGAGGCAAATCCATTCCACGGGTTTGGTGACAAACATATTAAAAATCTTAAAAAATGGTTGGAAAACATACTCATAGCCAAGTGTAGTGAGACTTGTAATCTGAGCTGCACAAGCCACAACACTTCTGACAGTCCAGTAAGAAGCAACTGGAATATAATTAGAGGCAGTGGAATAGGCTGTCATGTCTTGTGTAATGTATTGAGTTGGCAGATCATTGAACTCAACAATACACTTGGTCACCTCCAATATGATGTTAACTAGGTCATTGAGGGCATCAAACCGTGGTTTCAGCGTGGTTGAATGCTCCATGATACTTGTTAATTGCTTCAGAATTGCCATTGATTTGGCAAGATGGTTTGTATCATGAATATTGGCAAGCAGCCAAAATTCACCGTAGGTTAGAGCAAAAGCGGCTAAGGCCAGCACTATCTTCACATCCCACTTATAGATTGTAAGCATGTCAAATATTGCAATTGTTGTGGAATGTGCATCTAAACCACTGAGAGTCTTGTAGGAAATCTGAAATTTCATGTTGGTTTTGATGTTAGTTAATATAGTTAGTTTTTATTGGAAATCACAAAATTCAATGCATTACTAATATTAAAAATGCTACAATTTACAATAAACTTATTAATTTCTTATTGTGTGCCTTAGGTACACAGGAGAAGAACTGTTTATTATATTGATGGAGAAGTATGCATGCAGCTGACATTCTGCAAAATAAATATGCTCGTGCCTAATAGGCTAAAACTAACCATATGCATTTTACAATTAAGAACACAATATACCTTGCAGCTCAAATTCTTGTAATAGTTTACAAGCTATGTTATTAGTAGTGTAACTGTAACAATTTTTCAGGTGATTACACAAAGAATGATATAAAATCCTTGGTCTAGATTGTCTAGGTTGTTTTTCTCTCACCTCGCAGGAAATCCGATCAATCTTAGCAGTCAGGGCTTCCAGCATATTTGTGCTGCCAGCATGGTGGCTTTCGACATGTTCACCCTGAAAGAAATTACAGGTTATAATCAGGAGATACGAAAATCTCAGTCAAATCCACATCTTAATTAAACCAAAGTTCAAGGACGTATGCGTCTTTTTGCTTTACTTTTAGGGACAGGGTCCAATATTTGCTTGGTGATTACATGAGCAACTAAGATTTTGACTTAAATGCACTTTTTTAGTGCCTGTATCGGTTTTCTTAATTTTAATTGCTTAATCCTTCTATTTTTTTTAATTATTCAAATTAAGTTCTTCAGTTCAAAATTTTATCCACTAATTATTAAAAATATAATGGAGGTGTGACATATTAATTTATATAAATTAGTAATATTTAAATAAACACACTAAATGAAATGTATAAAACTTATAAAGGTTCTTTCTTATTTAACTACTTTATATACTTTTCTCTTTGCAATTTGTATAAATTAATTATATATTATATGTTTATTATTTTTGTTAATTATTGAATGAAATTTTGGAATATGAGATATAATTTTAACAATTAGTAAATTATATAAATTATTATATACAAGCAATTAGGACCAAATTACACATAAAACAAAGTATGGAAAAAAAATTGTAATTAAGCTTAAGTTTTGAAGGTATTAGCATCATAATCGTACCATTAGAGCACCTTCAGGACTCAAGGTGGAATGTCTAAAAATATCCTCAACAACATGGAGAAGTGGCTTGACATCATATTGTATTCCCTCAGGGTTATGTTCTGACACTAATTTCTTCACCAAAACACTGTCATCAGACAATGTACTTGACATCATTCTTCCACCTCTGATCATTTGTTGCATAGCACCCTGCTTGCCACTGCTAGTCATGGTGAGCTATAGAACTCTAGCTTTGAGGTAAAGAAGAGAAAAGGATTGTATAGTTGTGTTTCAAATGCAATGTGATAGGCCTTCATATAATAATAGATAGAAAGGAATAAACCCTTAACCCCGCCTGAATCAACTTCCTTTCTTTACCCACAATTAAGTTCTCAGAACGTTAAGAGGAAGAAAGAAAGTTGTAAGCTTCATTCTTTCCCTTTGTCCCCCACCTCTTCACTTTAGTATGTACCAAGTCAATGGCCTCTGCAGTGACAAAACAACATAAGGCTGCAGCATCTAAACTTTTTCAGTTGCTTAGGCTAATGAAACCTTGGTACCATGACCCTGAAATGTATAAACTATTGATCAAAGGATTATAAAAAGGACTACTCCATCCATCTTATTTTAGATTTCACTTGATACTAATACATATAATTTCAAAAAATAATTAGTTCTATTGATTATTATGATAAAATAAATCGGTTATATGATAATAGCTCTGTTAAAAGTGTTGAAGCTATTGCATAAGTTAATTGATAAGAACTAATATTAGAGTTATTATAATAATAATTAGTTGATAAAAAATATCTCTAATAAATAAATAAGAGTAGTATTGAAAGAAAAATAATTAATATTTTTTTAATATTCCAAAGTGATAAATAATTTGAGACAAAAAAAAAGTGTTCAAGTGACATATAATATGAGATGAAGGTAGTAATATATTTTAAGAAGATAGTCTTATCATCTTATGTAGGGGCTATTTAGTTTAAAATTGAGTAAAATTAATTTTGAATTGATATAATTGAAATTAGTGCATAAATTAAGATATGTATTTTTCATTGAAATAGATGAGAATTGATATTTTAACTATAAAACAAACAAGTCTCGTATATGAAGGTACAAAGTATATGAACTAAGCTCCAAGTTTTCAGTGTAAGTAAACAAAATAGATTTATAAATTTGGCATCTACCGCTATGGCGCTTGGTAGATTTTTCTGCAAGCTTGTAATAATGGGAAGCTACCATGTTACAAAATAGTCCAAAAAGATAGTATGTACAGCTATGAAGCAACCAATTTTGCCCCTAAATAAGCGTCAGTGTTTACTAAAATAGGTACAACAATATTCGAATCAAGGTAGTGAATGGAAACGTGTTGAAGGCTGTTGGTATGATATGCTTCTTTGCTTTGAATCCATTTTTTACTTGCAACATCAGTTCAGAATAATTGAGGCCATAATCGAAAGGTAGAAACGAGAGTGGAAAGATTTGATGCCTTGCTCTTACTAGCAGAATATGAAATTAACCCCCCCAAAGGTTAAATAATGATCACGTAAAGTCTTGCCCGGTCTTGAGAAATACTCTAGTAAATCGTCTAGTCTCATCATGGATGCTTAGTAGATAAGGTGGATTTGTCAAAGTGAAGCTGCACAAACTCCATCACCTCACCAAAATCAATATAAATATATAAAACAAATTATGATATTCAGTGTATTCGCCATTAGTTTTAAACTGTTGTATAAGATTCCTTTCATGGGAGTTATATAATATTGGTCTATTTGGTTTTTATAAAAACGGAATATGAAAAGATAGTTTATTTTTTGTCTTATTTTATGTCCGGTGTTCGTTGAAAAATAAAATATATATAGTTGACCCGTTAAATTATCATATTTTATATTTCTAGTTTCAATTATTATTTTAAAGAAAGCAATGAATCAAGAATATAAAGATGAGATAATTTTTCCTCTGTTACATTCTTATTAATATTTTTATACTATTTTTAACATTTTATAAAAAATAATTATTTTAAATAATATAATTTTAATAAAAATATTTTTTAAAATATTTCAATCAGTAAATTGATTCCATGAGTTTATCTATTTTAACATTAAACATAAGATACGATAAACGTTTATCTTTCTCTTATTATATCATTATCAATTTTTTTATCACATCATGTTCATCTAATGAGTCCATATAGTTTATAAAGTAAAGAAATAAGAGGATATGTACTTCTATATTAATTTTAAGTTTAGTTACATTTTTAGTTATTTATTTATTTATATGGATTCTATAATTTTAATTTCTTCAATTTTTTAAATAATTAAATTTACATATTTTTAAAAATAAGTAAATTTGATTCTTTTGTTGTTGTTTTTTACTTTAAATTATAATTTATACTCAAAATATTCATAAATTAAATTAATTAAATTTTTTTAATATTTAAATAATTTACTGATCAAAATATTAAATTACAATTATAATTAAAAAATTTCTATTTCAAACTATAAATTTTGCATTTTATAAAATCTTTTAAGACAAAAGTTGAAATAAAAGAAACTTTTTTCATGTAACTAGTCATCGTTGACTTGATGAGTTATCATTGATGTAACCAATAGCACTATTTTAAATGAGAAGTAGTTAAGTTGTTACCTTCTTCTAAAACTTAGCTACTGATCTAAGTTGAAAGGAATTAATCTTGATTGTTAATTATTTTTCATTCTCTATAAAATAATAAAATTAAAAACATATCCACTTCTCTCTCTTGGTCATGAACTCTTTTTCTCCAACATTTCATTTGTTTTCTCTTTTTTTTTTTTTTTTAAGAAACACACTATATTTGTCTCCTCTATTTTCATTATCATCTTTTTCATTCTCTTCCCATTTTTATCACTTCTCAAATTATCTTTTAACTTGAGAAAGTCTTAAGTATTTAAGTGAGTGTGAACCTTCCTTAATGTTGCACTTATTAGATACTATTTTTAGAACTTATAAGCTAAGATATTTATAATTTTTCTCCTCTCTACTCTCAAAAATGTAAAAAACTACAAGAGGTACAAGAGACAGAGTGTTTTATATTTGTTGATAGTTTTGCATAGAAATGGAGTCCTTTTGATGCATATTTTTTGTGACACTCTTAATTTTTTATTCAATTTATATAATAATTTATGATGAGGTAAAGAAAATAAAAATAAATTTCTTGTACACGTAGTATAAAAATGTGATAAAATAAAAAATTTTTTATAAATAAGTTAATTTACCAAAAAAATACAAAAGTATTAGAAATAACAAAAAATAAATTGTACCTTAATAATTAAATATACACTAGAACAATAAAGAAACGTACATATAATAAATTTCATTTACATGTAAAAGTTTAATATTTACAAACTATTATCAAAATATATATATTAGGACTTAGTTTACATTATTACAATATAAAAAATAATCTAAGTCCTAAAGAGTAGCTACTATCCACCAAAATACTTAGGACACAGTCCTAAGTCATCATTCTCGAACCAGTCCTGATGTGATCCAGCAGGCAAGGGAGTTGGAGACTTTCCATGGACCTATAATCAGGGCTAAGGCCAAGAAGGCCCAACAGGCCTTATCCATTCTTGTAACACATTTAGAGGTCCATCATACGGAGGCCATAGGATCACACACACACACACACATATATATTACTTGCATTGTTCATGTTTAGAGTAAGATTTTTGGGCTTTGTATTGGGCCATGTTTTAGGACATATATTCAGCCAAATCCTCATCTCCTTGTTACTTATTGTTCACGGTCCATTAGAGATGCATTTGGGCCTTGAGTTAACTTGCCTATATATAGGCTAAGCCTCTTGTAAAATTCATATTGAAATTTATTTGTTAAGTTTTCACACTTGTTGTGAGTTTAAGTTCTCAAGAAATTCTCTCTAGAATTCTCTAGGATCCTCTTTTTTTATCATGATATTCCTCCATGTGGCAAGGCAAATTGGCTTATACCTATTCTTTTAAGATGGTGCCAGTCACGTGTAATCACCTCTCCAATTCCCTCCACTTTTTGAATTCTTCTCAATTTTTGGTTTCTTCCAATTCGTGATCTACTCCATCAAACTCTACATCATTTGGTTAGGTTTTTTGGACCTACACAAGCAAGAAATTGATGCTCATCCTCTTGAAGATCCATCTCCTAGAACTTTTTTGAAGAATGCCTTTAAGAAACTCATCAAGTCTTCTATCTTTGCTAGTTTCTTCGGTGTCAACTCCTTATCATAATGATCTTCAGGAATTAATAACGACCTCGGTGTTTGTCATCAGTTCTCAAGTAAAAGTACTCAGTCTTTCTATCTAATCATGGTTGTGAAAAGTGTACAAGTAATTCATCGTGTCTGGCATCCGGACCTCACTTCTATATATGTACAAACTAAGTGTATGATGGATCCTACCATTAGTAAGATAATCAAAAGGTATGTTATACCCTATATTCATCTCTAAAGTAAAAATATCCCTAGACCCACTACTATTATCTACTACAAATTTACGGTAACAGATTTGCTGTTATTATCTAAATACATAATTAAATCTATTATTTACAAACCATTTAGACAACCTAATAGGTCTTTGTGTATCGGTCATCCTAATTTCTTGAAAAATATTTGTAAGGATAAGTTTTATCCTCGTTACTAAAAATATAATCAATGTTAAAATATCACCATATCGGACACAATAACAATATATAAATAATTCAACATACATAATCAATAAATTTCTCTCTCAATTAAACACTTCCTCATAGTTATTAATTGTTTCCAATATTTCATGAGATCTTACACAGATAAATAAATAGTCATTGATTAGTCTTTATACACAGATATAATATATATAATATAGGGTCTTTGAATAATACTTCACTAATTTCTTGTAGTTTTTCATGATACAGAGTTGAAACTAAAGAAACACGCCATTATTTTTTTAAATTGACTAATATTGATTGAATTATTTAAAACAAAGTTAATTAAAGTATCAAAAGGAAATTGAACAGAATAACATATAGTGTTGATGTTATTCCCAATAAAAATACGATATATGCCTTCATAAAAAGTTAACTATTGTATCTTATGTGCATTAAATGTAAAATGATGCGAAGTTCCATAATAAGATACCAACTGGGAGAAGGATTAATGTTGTATTACAGGAATCTTATATGATGTAAATCTAGAAAAATAAATCCAGGAAAGGTGACTCAGTTTG